TAGGATTGACAGATGAATTTTTCAGTCAACTGATCAAAATTTGACTGTATACTGAAAAGTCAAACTTTGACTTTTTGGTCAAAATCAAGTTCCAAGAGTTATTTTTCATCAATACATGTCAAATTATGAAACTTGTTCATCAAGAAACCCAAAAATGCAAATTAGGGTTTAAAATGGAAAAAATTTCATAACTTAGAAATTTTCTAAGTTAAGAAATTTTCTTATTTTTTCCTAACTTTGTCCCTTTTTTTCACCAAGATGAAAATGGATTCAAACAAAACTTGCAACATGAAAAAATTTATTCCATCACAACGTCTACAACTTTGATTCACAAAGTTTTCTCAAAATAAGCTTGTATCTCAAGTTATGATTTTTGGAACAAGGGTACCTAAAACTTTTAACTTAGAGAAAATTTGCCCTAATCTAGGCAGGATTTTGACCCATCTTCTTGGCCATTTTTCATATAGTTCCACTTGGAATTTCAAGTTGCATTGCAAAGATGGATTATATTACATGTTCCAATCTTTCCAAATTGTCCCAGAACTGCTCAAACACCCTTGTGGTTAGAGAGAATCAAATGCTTGAAGTTGGCAAAAACTCACTTTTGTCCATGGCCAATACATGTTCATAACAACTTGCAATTCTGATCTAGCTAGCTTGGTTCAACATTACAGGCCTCAAAACCAATTTGTACTCCTTAATTTAATGCATATCCATTGTATTAAGGTATTGTCTTGGTCATTAGGGCATTATACTTTAGTTTAAGCCTTAAAAGGAAAAAGCAACAATGCCATTTTTGCCTAATTTCACTTTATGTCAAAACCAAATCCTGGAGGCATAGGGGCCAGATCTTTGAGGCAAGATAAAGTCCACTAATTCTAGTAACCAAGAACAAAATTTGCAGCATGATAGGTGGGATGGTACAGGGCTATAATATCATTTCCATTCTCTTGCTTCAAGTAGAAGAAAGGTGACAAAACATAAGGGATCTCTCATATCTGTTAACACAAGCTTACAAGAACTTTGTGAACAAGTTCCATACCTCCCAACAAGCCTAAAGCATGACCCTTTCATCACTCATACCTCCTGATACTCAGAACCATTGTTTTTATGCAAAACAGGGCAGGTTCTGCATTTTGCAAGCCACAGCAAAATTCCATCGTGTGTTTTGTCCCAAGATAGTTCCAACACCTTCCAATCAACTCACATGAACTATCCCAGGCCCCCATTACAAGCTGTAACACCTCTAACTCACTTTTCCATTTTCATTTCAAAGCTCTGCAGGTTGAGTTCTACAGCACGATTCAAGTTGTTTCAAATCAAGCCAAGCATTGGAGAAGCTTCCTTGGACCTCAGGCAAGCTCAACATAAGCTCAAACACCATTGAAGGTTGCTACATTGTCTAGCTCGAAGTCAACTGAAACAGGTATTTCATGGACTTCTATCTCCCCATCTAGGAATGGTTAGGCTTAGGTTTGTGAATGAAATATGTTGTACTCATAGCCCTGAAGCCATACATATGCCTAGTTTTCATTTACATTAATCGTGCTGAGAGAATTTCACTCATGAACTTTCTGAAAAACTAGGTTAGAAATTAGGGCCAGAGAAATTCTCTCTGGTCTTTGAGAGTTAATCCAAGTTTTTTATATGGTTAGATTCGTTATTTGTTGCTCTACAAGTTTTATGTTTTGAGTTTTGTCAAAAGATCAAAGAATCAGGATATACGGGTTGGGGTAGCTAGCGCGCGTTTTTTTCAAATTCTGTTGGACAGAGGAAGAAGATGAAGTAGCTGGGCTGGGCCTGGCTACTTCCTACTTTTGGCACCCCCCGTTTTCAGTTTCACACCCCTTGACCCATTTTCTTATATTTTAATATTTTTGCATTTTTATTTTCTTTTCTGACTTTGATATTTTATTTTCAAATATAAAAAATGATCCAAAAATATTTTTACAATTTTTTGCATTTATTTGGTATTTATTTTATTTATTTCCACCATAAAAATGTTTAAATACTTTATTTTATTTTGTTTAAATCTAAAAATAATGTAAAAAATATGTTTATTTTCATTTTTATTTTTATACACATTTGAAAATATTTTCTTGAAATATATACATTTTTGTAAATAATTTATTTCAATTTTTTACACATTTAATATATTTAATGTATAAATATACTTATGTATTTTATCTTATTAAATAATTAGGTCAAAAATACAAAAAATGTTACATTTTCATTTTTATTATTATTTTGGACCAAAAATGTCATTTCTACAATATACTTTTATTTTTTTATAAATTAGTATATTATTGGACATAATTAATAAATAATTTTACTTATTAAGAATTAGGGTTTCTTGCCCTAAATAGGAAAAATAATTAAAATTGATCTTCTTTATTTTACTTTTTACATTGAAAAATTACTTTTTACATACTAAAAACATTTTGGCATAATACATTTTATTTACATTTATTTATTGTATTTATTTCAATTATTGTACATTTAAATATTGTATCTTGTACATTCGATATGGTTGTAATAACTTAGAATTTATTTTCTTGTCAAATACTCCCAATTCAAATTTGTACCCCCCTCCCTATATCATGTTGTAATAGTGTAGCATTTAAATTCCCGTACATTTAAAAGCTTTCAATTATGCCATGCTTAGACCTAGGGTTTGTATGCAAATAAAATCAAAAATTAGTTTGACCTAATCCAAGATAACATGCATGAAAAACAAACACAATACACACTTGCACCCCTAGGGTTTCATCCACTTGTTGCCTTCAAAATGGGCCATGGTTGTATGTTGAGTACTTTGGAAAAACAAAAACAAACAAAAAGATCATAGTCCCTCGATGACGCTATCTGAGTTGCCTAAACAAATAATCAAGTCCCTCAAGAAAATTGCCAAAGATACTTGACACAATTGCTATCATGGTCTATACGACGACCTGCGCCTGTCCCGTTAAACATCCTAACACAAGGTTGTTCACCAAATACAATGGTGAAGCAACACTGTTAAAAGGGTTAAGAACATAAGAAAGATCTTTGAGTAAAATAGGGTAGATAGCTCTTAGTTACTTGATCAACCTTGCAAAAACATCCTTGCTACTTTTCAAAACACATCCCACAACACAATTTCAAAACCCTACTTTCAAACATTGAAAACCTTTCAAAAGACAAAAACACCTTTGTATACATTCAAACAAGAATCATTACAAAGGTTGCCACAACGATGGCCTCTTTTCAAAACATTTTCCAAAATCACACACAAAGCACCATTTCAAACAATTGAAAAGCACCATTTCAAACAATAGAAATGCAAAGCAAGTGATCTAAGCAAGTAACTAAGAGCCCATGGATAACCATGGATAGAAAGGGTGCTAATACCTTCCCTTTCTATAATCTACTCCCCGAACCCAAGAAAACATCTCAAAGGTCTTTCCTGTGCTTTTTGACCTTTCCTTAGGGTAAAATAAAAAGTCGGTGGCGACTCTTGCTAAACCGAAACATTTGTAAACACAAACGCAAAATCCCAAGTCAGTTCTCCCACCGTATCACACTACCCAATGCAACTTCAATCTAAGTCCAACTTAAACCTGAGTTCCTACTCACTCCCCCTCAATCACAACAGTGTTACTAATCTATTGATTAATGAGATTATGAAGACATTCTTCAATACACACACTTGATTTTGCTTCAAAGCTTTAATCAAGAGACACAATCACTCATGCTTCAAAGGTTTGAGTGATAAACAACCCTTACTTGATTTTGCTTCAAAGATTTAATCAAGAGACACAAACACTCGTGCTTCAAATCTTTGAGTGATAAACAACCCTTACAACCAAATCCTACTCCAAGTCACTTATCAAAACGATAATTGCTTGGCTCACAGTAGTTACAACTATACAATGCCTTATTGATCTTCTGTCAAAAGTGCTGCTAACCATTATCCTTCGTCAGAAATATATAAGCTGCCTATTCTTCTTTTAGGGCTTCCATAAAAATAGCTAGGGTTAACTAAAGTTAACCTAAAGACTTGGTCTAGGGCTTTTTCATAACAGATTAGAGTTAAGAAAGGTTAACCTAATGTCCACGTGAGCAGCTGATCTGGACAATAATTCTTCAACTCAGAGAAGCACACCAGTTTCCTGAAAATTCTCAGGAATAATAAATCTGCACAACAACTTGATTAGTACAGGATGTCTTAACATTGGTTATGACATCATGAATCTTGTTCACTGATTTTGGTAGAATTAAGTATATATGATCATAGCTTAATGATCATGATAATCACTCATACTGAGTAGTTCCTGTAGAAAATTCTTTCTGTAGAATGTACCTTTATCCCAGAATGTTATGACATTAGTCATGACATTCGCAATTCTGGTTTTACCAAAAAATAATGCCAACAAACAAACACTTACACCTTCTACCACTATTAAAAATGACATTTGAGAAAAGGTCTTTTCATCAAGTATAAAAATATATGATGTAAAAAATAAAATCAAAAAGATTTTACATCAGGTATTTATTTGCAATGATATAAATAATACTAAAAAAATATATTTTTGCTGGCTATTATATCGGGCCAATTAATCCACCGATGTAACAGGTTTTGTAAAAAAAAATACGGTGGCAGTTTTGTAAATTAAAAACTAAGTGGCAGATTGGTAAATGAAAAACACGATAACCCTTACATCGGGCCTTGCGATCCACTGATGTAAAAAACCTGAAAATCCTTATATCGGCCCTTCCGATACACCGATGTAAAAAACCTGAAAACGTAACCATTACATCGGTCATTAATATGCACCAATGTAAAAACATGATTGTCATGTAACCCTTACGTCGGGCTAAAACTTCCACCGATGTAAAAACTCTAATTATTATTTAAGAAATAAATCTTATCTTCTCACTGCTGTACATTTCGTTTTTATTCTCTCCTCAAAACCAACTCTCTGTCCTCCGCTCTGCCTTCACAGTCCGTCCGTCTCCGTCTACGAATGCCCTCTGCTCCACCCTCCACCGTCTCCTTGTAGATCCGCGTCGTCCTGCACAAAGATGTCTGTCATAGGCCTCAGTCTCCCGCCATGCATGAAGACGTCCTCGAATCTCCAGCCATCACAGCCTGCCGCCGTCTTCGAAACCCCTGTCGCCGTCCAACTACGATTCCGGCAAGAAATTTTCTATTTTGTTCAACTTCATTGTATATATATGGATTTCTAAGAGGTATATATACAAAAAAGTTTTTAATCTATTCTTGTTTCTTTGCTTGCTACTGAGATACATTATAAAAAATTAGAAGTACATATAAAAATAATTAGAAGATTATACTAAATACTAACTCAGTGGCTTGGTGAATCCATTTCTTTGTTCATATATGTTTTTTAATTACTAAACAGTTTATTATTCTTAGGGAGGTTAATTAAGTCTAATTAGTTATAAATAGTATACATTTTGTATAGAGTTAAGAATATAGTACATGTTGTGTATATGTCATTCTTTTTCATTAGAGAAATTGTCTCCTTAGAAACCTCTGAAAGAAACGTTAATGGTCCTCTCAGAAACACACAGTTTATCTTTAACATATCAAACTTAATATAGTTATCACCTTGCCATTGAAATTTGATTCTATTTTTCTTTCTCCGCGGAGCAACGCAACTTGCAATCTCGGAATCTCCGTGAAGTAGCGCAGCCGCGGGCACACCCTTCGTCAGACCTTCCTCCATGTGAACATAGTTATGGATCGTAGTTGGATGAGAGCTAATCGATTAAGTGACGATACGAACTTGGAGTGATAGAATTTCTACAGTTTGCTGAAAGTAATGCTGAAAAAAGTCTTCTTGCGCTTTTTCTCTGTCCATGTGTTCGTTGTGCAAATAAAGAACCAAAATGTAGTAAGAAAGAAATCATGGATCATCTAATTTGTATAGGGATTTGTCAAAGTTATACGGAACGGATATGGCACGGTGAAGTAGTAGCAAAGTCAAATGTGTCTCAAAGGGATGATGTTAGTGTAGAAATGGATGATCGTCTAGAAGACATGATGCTTGATATTGGAAAAGATTCATTTTAGAGGGCACATGCGTATGATACTCTATGCAGTGACAAGGATAAACCATTGTACCCGGGATGCAAAAAATTTACACGTCTGTCAGCCGTGTTAAAATTATTTAATCTGAAGGCGAAGAATGGGTGGACTGACAAAAGTTTTACCGAGTTGCTTGAATTGTTGACCGAAATTCTTCCAGAAGGTAATGTAACGCCAAGTCGTTATTACGAGGTGAAGAAAATATTGTGTCTGATGAGTTTGGAGTATGAAAAGATACATGCATGCCCTAATGATTGCATATTATACAGAAAAGAATATGTAAACTATAATCATTGTCCGAAGTGCAAGGCGTCATGCTACAAAAAGAAAGATGGTGAATCAATTGATGATGAGGTGGTCAAAAGGGTCCTCCTGCAAAAGTGGTATGATACCTACCAAAAATTTCAAGGTTCAAGAGATTATTCGCCAATACAGATGACGCAAAGAATCTTAGATGACATGCATAAGAAAGAAAATATGATTGACAAATTTGTCATGTAGCTGATTCTTTGCAATGGAAGAAAATAAATTCTTTGTTTCCAAATTTTGGCAAAGAGTCGAGAAACCTTAGACTTGGACTTTCTACTGATGGAATGAATCCGTTTGGTAATCTAAGTAATAACCATAGTTCTTGGCCTGTTCTCCTGATGATTTACAACCTATCTCCTAGGTTGTGCATGAAGCATAAATATATTACGTTATCGATCATTTTATCGGGCCCAAAACAATCAGGAAATGACATAGACGTTTATCTAAGTCTACTGATTGATCATTTAACAGTGTTGTGGGAGGAAGGGGTGGATGTTTTTGATGCGTATTCTGGAGAACAGTTCAATATGCGTGCCATGTTGTTTTGCACCATCAACGATTTTCCGGTATATGGTAATTTGTCTGGGTATATAGTTAAAGGGCATAAGGCGTGTCCTATATGTGAAAAGACACATGTTACCATCAACTTGAAAAAAGAAAGAAGACTGTTTATATCGGGCATCGAAAATTTCTAAAATGTTATTATCCATATCGTAGATTGCGGAAAGCTTTCAATGGGGAACAAGAGCATGGTGTTGCTCCAAATCCCTTGTCTGGAGAGGAAGTTTATCAGCGACAATAAGGACTTGATGTTGTCTTTGGAAAGTACCAAAAATGATCTACTGTGAAAAATGATGGAAAAAGAGATTGATTTCCTTCGATCTTCCATATTGGTCTAGTCTTGATGTAAGACATTGTATTGATGTGATGCACGTGGAGAAAATGTATGCGATAGTGTAATCCGAACACTTCTCAACATTCAAGGCAAGACAAAAGATGGTATTAATGCTCATCTGGATTTGGGTTTGATGGGTATACGAGAAGAGTTAACTCCACAATATATAGATAACAAGACATATTTACCTCCTGCCTACTACACTTTATCTAAAAAAGAGAAAATAAGTTTTTGTGAGTATTTACAAAGTATCAAAGTGTCGCATGGTTACTCATCAAATGTCAAGAGGCTTGTATCAGTTAAATATCTTAAATTAGTTGGCTTAAAATCTCACGAATTTCATGTCTTAATGCAACAACTACTACCATTGGCTATTCGTGGGATATTGCCTAACAACATTAGGAAGACTATAACTAGGTTGTGCTTATTATTCAATGCAATTTGTTGTAAAGCCATTGATCCACTAAAGTTAGATGATTTGGAAAATGAGGCTGCAGTTATCTTGTGCCAAATAGAGATGTATTTTCCTCTTTCATTTTTTGACATTATGGTTCACTTGATTATTCATCTAGTAAGGGAGATTAGATTATGTGGTCCAATTTTTTTATGGTGGATGTATCCAATAGAGCGATACATGAAGATCCTAAAAGGGTATACAAAAAACCCACACAATCTGGATGCATCGATTATTGAGAGGTACATTGCAGAAGAAGCAATTGAGTTTTGTTCTAACTATTTGTCAGGAGTGGATGCTGCAGGGATTCCCAAGTCTCGTCATGATGGAAGATGTGAGGGTGTGGGTACACAAGGTTTAAAGGTCAAGAGTTTAAGTATTGATGTGGTTGTTCAAGCGCATTTGTATATATTGAATAACATAGATGAAGTTCAACCTTACTTATCTTCTCACAAAAGCATCATAAAAAAAAGTACCCCAAGATGAATGAAAGAGGGTTGTTAAAAGAGCATAATAAGAGTTTCTTTGAGTGGTTTAAATAAAGAATTGCTAATGAAGATAGTGATTCTAATACAATTAAGTGGTTGTCTTATGGGCCTAAATGTAACATAATAACTTGGAGTGGATATGATATTAATAAAACCTCTTTGTATAGAAAGTTAAAGGATGACCGTAGTACCACACGAAATAGTGGGGTAATGATTGTGGCCGAGTTGATGCACTTATCTAGGGCTAAAGATAAAAACCTGGTTATGGCATCTACACCGTACTTTGGGATGATTGAAGAGATTTGAGAAGTTAATTATGTTGTGTTTAAAGATCCTATATTTAAATGAAAATGGATTGATATCAACAGGGGTGTAAGAATCGATGAATTTGGAGTTACACTGGTTGATCTTAGCAAGTTAGCTTATGCGAACAAACCTTTCATCATGGCATCTCAAGCAAAACAAGTGTTTTATGTCACAGATCCTTCTAATAAAAAGCGGTCAGTGGTTTTACAAGGAAAGGTCCATGATAATGATGAAAATCATGATGAGAATCTTGATATTTCTGAAACTCACCCTTTCTTAACAAATGTGACTACATTCATTGAAGAAAATGAAGGGGATGATGTGCATGCTATTCGCATAGACCATGAAGAAGGGATATGGGAGGACTAGTAAGATTTTTTTATAAGTTAATTCCACGTTACTTTATTTTCTAATTGTTTTTATTTTGTGCTTAATTTTATTTCTAATTGTTTTTATTTTGTGCTTAATTTTATTTCTAATTATTTTTATTTTGTGTAAACAGATACATGGGTGATTCAAATGACATCCCTTTTTCATCTAGTAACCCCAATAAAAGAAGAGTTAGAGGTCCCACTTTCATGACACAAATTGACAAAGTTCATCAAATAGGTGAAAGATAAAGGTCGAGTTTAACCCAAGAACCTATGAATGTATTGGTGTTGGTAAAAATGCTACACATTTTAAGAGTTATATAACATGTCTTGCTTTGCAGTGCTGTAGTATTGTGAAAAATGATTGGTAAGAAGTAGATGAAGGCGTAAAAGATGCTATTTGGAATGATATTCAGGTATTTTAAATTCAAAACTTTATTATATTTTATAATCATATACTAATTAACAACATATGACATATACTATATTTGTAGGCCCATTTCACTATTCCAGAATGTAAAGATCCAAAGAAGGATAGGTTGAAGAAAGAATGGATTAAATATATGGGATGACGATGGAGATGTTTTAAGACACAAATCATAGACAGATATATTAATCATCCCATAGAAAAGGATCCTCCTCCATTTGTCAAGTATAACTTTATTACGGAAGACGCATGGAAAGAGTTTCTCAAGATTCGAGATACCCCTGAATTTAAGGTTAGTAGGAGTTATATGTTTTTGTATGCATAGAATTTTTATTATATTTAGTGATTAATAACTTTTTTGAGTTTATAATAGGAAAAAAGTAAAAAGGGTAAGGATAATGTGGCTAAGAATGTATACTCACACTTATTGTCTCGTGGAGGGTATCGCTTGCTTGAGGAGAAAATTATGAAAGAAAAATCATCATCGAAAGATAATTTCACATTAGATGATAATGGTAGTCCATCTCCACCATGACACCATGAGTTATGGAAGAGAGCACGAAAAAAGAAAGGAGGAGAATACACATCAAAATCTACACAAGCGGTTGCTGAAAAAATTATAAGTAAACAATGAAAAATACTTCAAGTATCATTATATTTGTGATTAATTAATTATGGTTTTTGCATTTTGTAGGATTCTCTAGTTCAAGAAGCTGAAAAATGTGCAATTGTTCCGGATGGACGTAACGATATCTTAACAATAGCCATTGGAACATCTGAGCATGAAGGTCGTGTTCGTGGTGATGGAAAACGCCATAAACAAAGCACTTACTTTGGAAGGTCACGTCAATAACAACATATTGACGTAAATAAACAACTTGCAACATTGGGAAAAAAACTTAGAGATGAACTTGAAGAAAATTTGGTTGAAGAGCGTAAGATGTTTCAACAATCATTAATGGAGACATTTAATTCTATGGGTTTATCACAAAGCACAAATAATATTAAATGCATTGAAAAAATGGAAATTGTCGATGGAAGCGGAAAAGGAAGTTGTTCAGCTGCAAAAGGAAGCACAAAAGACGTGGAAGTTGATGATGTTCAGAGATTGTTACTCATAGCTTTTAAAATGGATGACAACCATTTGGAAATATAATTAAGTCATTGTGTGAGTGTCTCTAATTTTTTATATTTCAGCTAAGTGTATCATAGAGTTATTGGTGGTTTTAGGTCATTGGCTTGACGTGTCTATTCTACAAATTTGGTGCACGTAAGTACATTTTATTGTTTTATTAAAGTCAATCTCAATTAATATGTTATATCTCTCATCACTTTGATTCTAATGTTTATTTCAAAATTATTCAGGTATATTCATCGTATATGTCTTG